GGAAGCTGCGGGAGCAGCAGAACGGCAAGTGCTTCGTGGTCCTGGACGACTGCGCCTACGATCGGAAGTCCATGAACTCCAAGGTCCTCAAGTTCCTCGCGAACAACTCCCGCCACCTGAACATCATGGTCATTCTGACCATTCAATATTGCATGTCGATCCCTCCCGACATCCGCAACAACATCGACTTCATGTTCGCCTGCGCCGACAACAACAACACCAACCAGAAGAAGCTCTACGAGCACTACTTTGGCAACTTCAACAACCTGAACGAGTTCAAGGAGGTCTTCCGCGAGGCGACCGCCAACTACGAGGTCCTCGTCCTCGACAACGTCGCCAAGACCGGTCTCAACAGCGACACCGTCTTCTGGTACAAGGCGAATCTGCACGCCCCCTTCCGCATGCTGCACTCGTCCTTCTGGAAGTACCACAAGAAGCACTACGACGGGGGAGGTTCCAGGCCCGGAGGTGCCGGCAAGACCCGCGTCCGCAAGACGGACTGAGTCAACTCCGACCCGTGATCCGTGGCCTCTTGGGCACCCTCCTGCTCCTCATCGCCAACGCCGTGGCCCGGCCCAGGTCGAGGGAGCCGTCCTCTCCGATCGCCGCCGGGATCTGCGAGATCATTCCAGGCGCCGCGTCCGAACTCATGATTCCCGAGAGCACGCCTCCACTCCCGCCCGGACCATCGTCCGCGAGCATTCCTCCGAGCTTCCGTGCCGCGTCCCTCAGCCCGAAGGCTCCCGCCATGCCGGAGGTTTCCAGGAGCTCCCCCATCGAGCGCGCGACCGCCTGGAGCTTCGAGGCGTCCACGCCCTTGGCCAGCCCCCGCATCTCCTCCTCGAAGTCTCGCGGGTCGATCGACCGGATGGAGTCGGCGGCCGCTTCGACGGAGCTGAGGTCGACCGCGTTCGCCGCTTTCGAGAGCGTGGACTGCAAGTACCGCGACTGGACGTTCGAAAAGGCGGACCGGAGGGTCGCCACGATCTTGGCGCACCTCTCGTCCTTCAGCTTCGCCAGCGCGTACGTCGCCACTTCGGCGGAATCGATCCTGCGATCGGATCCCATGACCTCCTTGAAGCGCGGCAACAGCGCCTTCAGCACTCCGGATAGACCGTCCTCCTCCGGCTCGGCCGCGTCGCTCGTCCCGAGATCGAGGTCGACCCCGTCCAGGAGCTCCTCGAGGTCCTCCTGCCGGATGTCGTCCTCCTCCACCGTCGCCGCGAGGCCCCTCAGGAGCTCGATCCCCTGCTCCATCTTTCCCAGGAATGCCGCCGGCACCAAGACGCGCTTCCCCACCACCTCCGAGAACACGAGGGACCAGGCCCGCGCGCCGGTCGCCAGGCCGGGGTCAGCCCCCTCGTCGAGACCAGCGGCGGCCGCCAGAGACAGCAGGTGCCTTCGACTCGCGTCCTTCGATCCCTCCGACATGCCGCCCCAGAGCTTGACCGCGAGCGCCCCGACGGGACATCGGACGACCCGCTCCAGGGACGTGAGGGTTTCGACGTCTCCGTTCCTGAGCGCGATGACAGCGTCCTGATCACCCTCGAAGAAGGATGCGAAGGCTTCCATGAGCGCGTCCGGAGAGTTGGCCATCTTCTGCTTCACCTCGTTCCTGAGCTTTCGGAGCGGCTTGTAGTCGGGAAACGCCTTGTGCAGCTGATTCACGAAGCCGCGCAGGTTGGCGTTGAACTCGCCCATCGTGCGACCGGCTTTGGGCGTAACGGGTCATTTTTTTGGAAACGAGAACGCGTCACACCCTACTCACGAACTGCGGAAGCCCCAAAGACCTTCCTCGGATCTTGAAACGAAGTGTGAAGCTGTTGTCCAGCCCCTGAAAGTCCACCAGGGTCCCGTCCTTCCTCCTCCAAGAGAACTCGAGCTGGTCGAGCTTGGCGAGGGGCGGCCTGAACTCGGTGCTCACTTGCGTCGCCGTCGCTGCAGAGTAATAGATCACGTCTCCGGCCGCACCGAAGAGGGAGAGCCGAACGAAGGCGTTGCCGACGAACGGGGCGCTGTTGCTGGTCAGCGAGCGGGTGTACGTCGTTTCGTGGAACTTGGTGTCCAGCTCGGGGCTGGACAGGTAGACGTATGTGTCCCCGAACAGGTCTGCGTAGTTGGAGGACGCTATGGAATCCGTGTACGCTGAATCGGTCGGATCCACCCCCTCGTTCGCGTACCCCAAGTTCCACTCCGTGTCCGCGGCGTCGAAGCCGAATGCCTTGCAGCAGGAACCGGGCCTCGAGAATAGTAGCTTGAATCGAGTCACGCCCGCCGCCGGCTCCGCTATCGAGAACACGAACTTCGAGCGCAACGGGTCGTACGTCACGGCGTAGGTCCTACCTCCGGAGCCCGCCGTCGTGAGGTTCATCAGCCGCGCCGTCGCCTCCGCCAGGTCTGGGCCCGCATAATTCCCCGTCGGCAGCATGAAGCCGACCACGTCGTCCTCACCCCCGACGGTCTCAGAGAAGAAGAACATGTTCGTCGCCGTCGTGAGCGCGTACTGAACGTTCGGAAACTCGGCGCTTATGAGCTCGCACGACACGACGTTGGTCAGGGGCGTCCGGAGATAGACCTTGAAGTGCGCCGACGAAGGGTAGATGACGGGGTCCCGCAGCGAGCTGTCCACGCATATCACGGCCTCCTGTAGGTCGAGCGCGTTGTTCTTCCCGAAATGGTCCAGCTGGTCTCTCACGTAGAAATC